GTAGTCGACATTGGTAGCTCCATTGTGAGGGGTCTTGGGGAGAAAGTCGGAATGGAAATTTGAGCATATCCGGTCAGTTGCCGGAGGTAAGCATGCTCAGGTCTTGGGTGCCCCGGAATGGTGATCACGTCTGACCCAAGTGACATAATGTGCTGTTATGGAAAAAGAGGGCGGCAAGGTTACAGGACACTGCCGTCTTGAAGTCAGGGGCTAAGTAGTTATCAAGATTTCGCAAAGACAATGATTTTTGCTCCTGATAATAACCGCTGTTCAGATGGAACATCGGGCTGATGGCGGCTCTCTTATTCCGTAGCAAAACGTGTTGCAGAGTCTTGAATATCCTGAAACCCGGGCTCTGTGCCCTTACATTCCTCGGATCTGCCCCTGATAGAACTTGAGTGCATACCAGTTGTGTCACCTAACATGACGTGGAAGCCCACATGGCGTACATGCTCCCGAGCGGTCTTCCTGACCCACGCGTCTTCGCCATCAGTGTCTGTCTTTCTTCGGTTGGTTGTCTTCGGGTGTCCGCTGCGACCCGCAACTTCGCCTTCATGCATGTTACGCATGCCATGCCAGCACATAGGGGCTCTGTGCTGCCATACTGCTCCTAACGGAGTGTTATTCTGGCAGTGTTCTAACCAAGACGTCTGGATTGTTCAATAACTCCCACTGACACCAAAACATACACACTTCTAGCTCTAGACCCATTGCTCAAACCTCAGCTCAGTTTTGTGTAAGGGAAACCCACACCTAGCGGGAACCGACCGTCAAGACGAAGTGGTCTCTTATCCGTGGGAGACATCAGTACTCTCTACCAGTGTACTGCGCTAATCAAGCCATTGCTCAATCTCAAATAGAATGCCATAAAGACGTGATGTATTATTCCCGACTGGGGACTGTCGTGGACCTTCCAGGTCTTGCATTCGATGCAGTGTAACAGCGGTCAGTTTCGTTCTTGAGCTGTGTAACTATAGTTTGAAGAACAAAGCACTTGACAGGCCAGCACCGCCAACCTCGAAATCAAAGTCCTCATTGTGATTGGCCTGCTGAGAATTTGATTTCTGACTCGGCCCGAAAAAGAGACTAGAGCTCAACGTGTGCAAGAAGTTGAGATCCGAGGGTGATCGGGTTTTCCACTTTTCTGAAACTTCTCACAAGAACGGCATCAAGAACAGTGGCTCTCATGAAGCACTTTTTATGTTTGTCAATGCAACCTTAGAACTCTCGCGTCTGGCGGGCCCACTACGAACGTGGTGTCCGAGACATTCATGATTGCTGCTCCAAAGATAAGATATTGATCATTCCAATTCGTTACTCCAATACCTCTCAGAGCACTCCCAGGGGCACCGATGTTTGATGAAACCATTTTAGCTAAGATGTTTAAGTGAGTCTGCATCAGGCTGGTTCTTTAATAACGGACTTTAGTTCACAGAGTGAAAGACTCTGTCAAACCATTTCAATGAAGCGAAATGCGCAGATCTGACACAGCCCCATGGAGTTTATCAGAAGGTACGATAAGTGGGCATAGTAAATCTTGACATCATCTCTGTCTTCGGACTTAAACGCACAAGCAATGTGCATTCCGATTCGCTCGCACATTTGCGGCTGTCACACAGCATTTATGCAAGAACACAGACTTTCCAAGCCATATTGCACAAACCTCTGCCTATATATTATTATTCCTACGCCGCTGTGCCCTGCGGGCATGTCGGACCCTCCGCTACAGGAAAACCGCGCCCTTGCGGGCCGGGTGAAAAACCTATACCGACGATTAAGGAAAGAAATCAGTGAATGAGCCTGCGAAGTACAAAAAGAGAAGGCCTCTTGGCCTTCGACGGGTCAGAGTCAGATTGCCTACTCCAGCTCGAGCTTCCTAGCCAAGCTGTACATCGGCAGTCTTCCTGAATCCATCAGCCAGCCCAGTATCCTTCTCGTCAGCCGAGCAGTCGAAGGACTGGCACCCTGTAGAACAGAGTAAAAGTCCTGTCGCGTCCTGACTTCTGTTCTCTCCCACGTCCGGGTCAACGGTGGGGACAAACACCACATCACCAGGTGTTCGACAGTCTCCCGCCCTTCCCCGCACTCGCAGCAGGGCGTCAACACACTTGGGACTCCCCGTTTGAACAAGAAGTCCCGGAGGCCTATGTCCCCAGTTCGGACCTGGACCAACAACGAGCTCTTCGCTTTGCTCAGTCCCTCGTGCTTCTTAAGAGTCTTGTCCTTGAATAGAGTCTCCCGTTGGTGGTCGAGGTCATCCGCTGGTCTCGTCGTCGCCCGACCGTCTCGTTCCTTTAGCCATCTCTCTCTCCAAGCCTCCTCGACTACCCTGTCCGTGTCGGTGGTTCCCCCAATCCAACGCGCTATTACTCCTGCGGCCTCTTCTACCGCTGTCTGCCTCTGTGGCCTTAAGGCCCGTGGTCGGCCCCTGTTGCTCGGCCTTAAGGAAAACCTCCGGCGTATCTTGCTGCAAGCTGCGTGGACAATGGTCCCTGGGGCCTTTTTATCTCCTTGGTCGTCGTCGAGAGCGGGTTGTTGCAGCCTGGTTTCGAAGTCGGCAAGCCGTTTGTTGAAGTATAGGTCCAATGGCGGCACCCATGTTTCTGTTTCAAGATTGCGGATTGGGGTGGACTTGAAAGCTCTTGCTACGATCCGCAAGCAGGAGTTTTGAGCCTTCCCAAGATCCTTGGTGATTCCCTTCGTTGCTGGCTTGCCTCCTTTTTCAGTGGGGATGTGGAAAGATGAAGCCCCATAAGCTAGCGCCGACCGGATGCATTTCGAGTACACCTCCCGTGCCTTAGCCAGACCCAGTCCCCACGTCTTGGCTGCGATTCTTTGACAAAGCGTAGCTTTGGGTCACCAGTTTCCGTTCCACTGCCCTCAGGTGAGCTTTCCAGTTAAGCCTCCAGTCCAGCCAGACACCTAGGAACCTAGCTGATTCTGTCGGCTTCACTGGACTGGTGCCTCTCCCCGGCTGGGAGAGGTCGAGCTGGTTGGTCCACTGCCGTCGTCCCTTGTTGAAGTGAATCAGTTCGCTCTTCTCGGGAGCAAATGCCATCCCTCGGGTGTCCGCCCACCGCAGACATGTCTCCCAGGCCGCCTCCAGCTGTCGGACGTTGGTCTCCGGGTCTCGGCCAAAGACTAAGAGATTGGTGTCATCTGCAAAGCCTGCTATCGCTAGATGGGGGTGCTGTTCTTTCAGCTGCTTGTATAGAGAGGCGATATAGAGAATGAAAAGAGCCGGAGAGAGGGGAGAACCCTGAGGCACTCCAGCCCGTATGGCTGTCGGGGAGGCTGCCTGGCCGTCAAAGTGAAGGGTTGCCTCCCGTCCGGTTAGCCAGTCTTTTATCCATAGGACCAACCATTTTGGAAAGCCCAACTCTCGAAGAGTGGCAAGTAGCCGGGGATGGTTAACTGTGTCGAAGGCTCCCGAGATGTCCAGCTGGAGTAGCGATGCTGTTGCTTTCTGCCTCCACGCTTCTTGAACCTGAGCTACTACTAGTCGGACCGCGAGCTCTGTTGACCGGTGTGCTCTGTTGCCCATCTGTTCGTCCGGAAGTAGGCCGTTGGTCTCTGCGGCTTGGGTGACCTTCTCAGCCACCACCGACTCTATTACTTTCCCGAGGGTTGGTAGTAAAGCGATCGGCCTATAACCTCCTGGTGTCTGATAAGCTAGCGGAGTCTTGCCCGGCTTTGGCAGAACCACGGTCTTTGCTCTCTTGAACCGGCTCGGAAACCATCCCAACTGCAGACACCTGTAGCTAGTATAGCCAGTACGTTGGCCAGCGGCTTCCCGCACGCTTTCAAGAAGCCTGTAGGAAGCAGGTCTTCGCCCGGTGCTTTCCAGGGGCTCGCCTTTCTCATCGCTTGCGCAACTTCGGCCGGTGTTACCCTCTGTTGGACAATGAACCTTGGCTCCCAGTCATCACGGAAAGCTTGGTCTTGGATGTCGGTAAGGTTAGCTGGAGGGTTTGGAAAGAACCTCCCAGCTAGAGCCTCGGCCTTCTGGCTGTGGTCCGTAGCTGTTATCTGTCCCGAGGCGTCTCTGAATGCTGGCAGCCTCGGAGGTTCTGGTGGTAGAAAGCTCTGTAGTCTGGCCCATCTCTCGAACGCCCACATCTTGTCCGGCTTCTTCGCCTCGCTTGCCTCCTGAATCCCATCTCTCCAAGCTCTTGTCCGGGCCTTCTGGATAGCTCTAGTACGTTCCTTGAGCCTCTTGTTTAGTTCCTCCTGGTGGTAGTCTGTGTGGGCCTGCTCTGCCTATATATATTCTCGGCCGGGCCACTATCCTTGTATTCGAGATCTGAACCGTCTGGTGGTTTGAACTGCATCAATGGTAGCCAAATCAGAGGTATAAAGTTCTAACACTGAATTAATCTTGAGTCTGCCGTGACTGAGGCATCTGAGGTTTAATGGCTTTTAGACAAACCAACGTGCCATTTTCTTCGATCTTGGAGAACACCAAAAAACAATTGAGATAGTGTTGACTATGAGTTTTGCCTCCCTTCTTGCTCTATGTCATGCCTGGCTCCCTCAAAGCCAAACTAAAGGTCCTTTCTCACATTTCCCCCACAAGAGAGGATGTTCCCTAGAACTTCCAGATAAATGGCCACCACGGTGTATCACCCTCGGGTGGTACCTTGACACCGCTCAATAACTCTTGATTCTTGTTAGACCCCCTTCAGCAATCAGCACTTTGTTCTCATGATTTCATGAGCGCCTCCAGGGTCCATTACCAGTTTCACGACCACCTATATTTTAACAAAGAGAGCGTTAATGTAAGCTACTTCTCTCAATTTCGAGTGTTACATTGTATACAGCAGGGCTAGAATCGAGCGTGCCAAGACAAAGAATGAGATTGAGTTCAACCTCTTGTGAGCTGGACTAAGGGGTAACTCAGGTTAAGCTCCACTTAATCCTGATCGCGAAGCCCCGAACCTCCATCACCCCACAAACCCCATCACGCAAATTTTGACGTCACACACACATTAACAAGCCAGGGGTGGATGGTCTAGTGGTACGATTTCTGGTTCGCACCCTCCGGCGACCTACAGAAGGACCTGTGTTCGACTTACAGTTCGTCCAGGCCTGGCTCCCACCTACCTACCATGAGTGTTCAACACTCATCAGTCTTCCGTAGTATAGTGGTCAGTATGTGAGCTTGTCATCTTCGACATCGCTCGAGACCCGGGTTCAATTCCCGGCGGGAGAGAGCCACATTGGGAGCTCCTTTTGATGCTCCTGAAAGGGTCTCGCAAATATTTTTGTGTCTTCTTGTGGCCTTTGGTCCACGCATCTTTCTTAGGCATGGGGAAAGCAGATAGCGGGTCTCAATGTCACTTCAGGCGAACTCGTTTCAAAAAGTCTTGTGATCGGAAACAGTGACAGATTTTCTATTGGTACAGACACTAAAACTGAGACTGCTGATGACCAAAATGCAAGGTGAGTTGCTCGATTGATAAAACATAAAGCCTAACACCTCTTTTCCCTTAACTATCCTTCTAAAGATTAACACCGTTCCTGTCTGAAACCAACTCCTCCTTAAAAACAAGCCCCCTTCCTCATCCCGTCACATCGTTGTGGTATATCCTATTCTATCCGAATATCGAAAGCAGAAAATGCAACCACCCAATCACGTAACATCTAAACAGTTTCTTGCTTCCCTTTCTTCTTCTTAAACAACCCCTTGACAGCGCCGACGACCTTGCCAACACCGTCGAAGAGGGGTCCAAAGCCAAAGGTCATGCCTTTGACCCGGACAGTGTAAATGAAGAAGTACACGAGCCTGCAAAGCATTAGTCAGGAACCAGTCAAGTGCCAAGGGTTTTGGGAGAACACTTACATCCAGTTGGTAACGCAAAATACCAAGAAGATGCCAAAGTTGCGCCACTTAACATTAGACGAGATGCCCAGCGACTGCAAGTACTCGGACCCGTCGACGTAGGGGCAGTAACCACAGTCGGAAGTGTCTTTGGGGTTCATGAGGTACCCCTGGCCAGCTTCGCGCACGAAGGCGCTGGCAAAGTCCTGGCAGGTCTGGCCGAGGGGCGGGTTGAAGTAGGCAGCCTCGCTCGGCGCGCACTGGACGGCTGTTTTGGAGAGGGTGGCTGAGAGAACACCGGCGACCCAGTACGAAGAGGGGTTGAGCCAGTAGAGCTAGAGCAAGTTAGCCATGTGCACAAGCAGGAGGGGGTCGGAGAGACTTGCCCAGTACTTCCAAAAGACATTGAGGTCCGAGTATGGGACAACGACACCGTTGAACAGACAGAAAATAACCAGGAAGCAAGGCAGAATGTTGCTGATGACGGTGAAGCTGGGCGTCCAGGCACAAATCCACTGTCCCCAGCTCGACTGGAACAGGAAGAACAGCAGCGTCATCAGGAAGACATACCCGGCTGTGGGAGCATCATACGGCAGGCCAGTCGGCAGGTACGAAAGCAGCCAGTAGAGAACACCGGCAGCCAAAGATCCCGGAATCTCAGACAGAATTTCGGCCGTGCAGAACGCCACCCACCCATAAATCCTCGAGGGGGTGCTCGCGCACCTCCCACAGGGCGCGGTTCATGTAGAACTTAGGCAGAACAGCGTTGAGGACGCTTGCGGGGATGATGAGGATCATGAACAGAGTGAACATGCGGTTCTGCATGTCGGCGGCGGTGTTGCCCAGCTTCCAGAAGGTAAAACCGTTGAAGATGCCCATAATGACGGCCGTGAAAAGGCGGCCGTAGAGATAGGATGGGTCGCGCCACTGGCGGACGAACATGCGCTTGGTCACGAGGGAGATCTGCTGCATGACCGGGGCGGCAAACTCATGCTTGGCTTGAGGGGCCGAAGAATCGTCGGACGCAGATTTCGCCACAGCCCTGAGACGTTCGTCCTTGAGCTGCTGGATCGCAGCGAGGACCTGCTTGTTCTCGGGCGACTGGCGCCACTCGTCAGACCAGTTGATGCGGCTGCCGTCTGGACGACGGCCGCCCTTGATGGCAGTTTCGAGGAGAAACTCGGCGACATTGCGGCCCGGGGGGCACTGTACGCCACGGTCGGCAAAGTACTTGACGACGGCATCGCCGTCCTGACCAACAGGACCAAAATAGATGGTGTTGCCGCCGGGGTTCAGCGCCAGGATTTTGTCAAACTCCTGGATCAAGTCAGACGAGGGCTGGTGGATGGTGCAGATAATGGCCTGGCCGGCCGCGCACAGCTTGCGGAGGAACCGGACGATGGAGAAGGCGGACTGGGCGTCCAAGCCGCTCGTGGGCTCGTCGAGGAAGAGCAGGAGGGATGGTCTGGCCGCGAGCTCGACGGCGATGGTAAGCCGCTTTTTGTGTTCCACTCCCAGCGATCCGACGATGGCATCTTGAATCTCGTGAAGCTCGAGCAAGTCGAGGACAGTGTCGACGTAATCCAGCTTCTCCTGGCGTGAGATCTCGCGGCTCTGGCGGAGCAGGGCCGAGAACTCGATGGCCTCGCGAACGGTGGCCGAGTCCTCGTGCAGATCCATCTGCTCGACGAAGCCGGTGCTGCGCTGGAAGTCGTTGGCCAGGGGCTTGCCGTCGACAAGCATGTCGCCGCTGACAACACCGACGGTCTGACGCTGGGAGAGGGTGTTGAGGAGGGTGGTCTTGCCGGCACCGCTGGCTCCCATCAAGGCAACCATGACACCGGGCTTCGCGTATCCGTTGACGCCGTTGAGCAGCTTCTTTGGGCCGTCTGCAGTGGGAACGGTGTATGTGACATCCTCCCAAGTAAAGATCCTCTCGCTCTTCGTCAGCCCCTTGAAGGCAGCATCGTCTCCGCCAGAAGGCACTTCAGTAGAAGACGAGTTGCCAGAGACAGTCCCCTTCTCCTCATCCGCGCACCCCTTGCTCGCAAGCTGCTTGGCGGCTCGCTTGGATTTCTTGAAGATGAGAGCACCGCCTCCCGATCCGCCGAATGACATGAGCTCGGTGGTGGCAACGGTGACAAAGAGATAGAGGGCGGCAAAGGCAATGACGACGCCAAAGTTGCGCCAGAGATGGGCACGGGAGTAGTCAAACTGCCGGCTAAGGTAGTCATCACCAAGAACACTCGTCGAGCCGAGATGGGCTCCAGGGATGGCACAGCCCTGGTTCTCAGGGAGCACATCCGGCCCCTGGGGCACCAGCTGCGAAGGTGCGCACTCCATGAGACGGCCAGAGAACTCGTTTGCCATGACAGCCTCGAAGGAATAGCTCATCGGGTTGATGTAGTAAATCCACCCAAACCAGATCTTCTGCGAGATGAGCACAGGTTTGGAGATGGCATAGCCGGTGTAGATAAAGAGCAAGTTGAGGGCCGTGCCCGCAAACCGAACCGCGTCGTCGATAGACGGCGACATCGCGGCCAGCATGCGGTAGAGAGCGGTGAGGCAGAAAGTGGTGATGTACATGAAGAGCAGCTGGATGAAGAACTTGCCCGGGTGCAGGTCGAGACCGGTCATGAAGTACATCAAGATGCCGAAAACGATGCATTGGGCCAGAAGAACAGGGAGATCGACGAGGGCGCGGGCAAGCGTGACAGCGCTGGGGCGGTAAAAGGCGTACTCTTTGTGGCGGGCAACGATAGCACGGCCCGAGACGGCCTTCATCAGCTCTGCAAGCTGGAGCCAGCCGAGGAAGATGACAGCGAAGAAGGCGACACCGCTGCGAAGGAAAGTGCCGGCAGTGGAAGAGGGCGTGTTGTAGAAGAGAGACCCAACAATCAGGCCGTTGCTGATGATGGTGAAGTACTTGGAGTACAGCTCCGTCTTGTCGCCCCAGATGAGCCAGGCCTCACGGCGAGCGCAAGCGAGAACCTGCTTCCAGAACGGAATGGTGTAGTTGGAGCCCTGCTGCACGCGGCGAGACTTTTGTTCCCGAACCGACTCCTTGAACTTGTGCATATCGGCGTGGCCGGTCTTCTGGAGATGCTGCTCAAAGTCGTTGACATCGGCAAGCAGGCGCTGATACGCGGCGCTGCTCTTGAACGCCTTCTCCAGCTCCTCGGCAGTCCTGGGGCACCGGTCCTCGAAGCCCGGGTGGAACTGGCGGGAAGTCGGGTCACAGATGGAAGTGAGGAAATCTGGGGTGGTCTGGCGAGGGGGGGCGTAGAAACCGAGATCCTCAAAGTACTTCCTCGCGTCCCTCGCGGGGCCCTGGTAGAGCATGCGGCCTTCATCGATAATGAGGACCTTGTCCATCAGCTCGTAGATGCCTTCGCCGGCTTGGTACAGCGTTGTGATAGTGGTACGGTCTGAGACGTCGGTCATGATGCGAAGGGATTTCGCCTGCAAACAATCAGTACACCAGATTTGGAAGACAAAAGGCAACACAATCACTTACATAGTCAAGGGCCGTCGAGGCATCAAGACCGCGAGTCGAGTTGTCCCAGCAGACGACGGTGCTCTTGGTGGCAAGCGCCTCGGTGATGCTGACACGTTTTCTCTCACCACCAGAAACACCCCTGACGTAGGCGTTGCCGACGATCGTATTCTCCGTGTGCTTGATGGCGAACATGCGGAGCAAGGCGTCGATGATGAGCCCGACGTCGTTCTTTAGGTTCTTCCTGGTTTTGTTGAGCAGCGAGAACTTGAGCGTCTGGCCGACCGTCAACGTCGGCAGGTGCTGGTTCGCCGTGGCGCACGACGCCAGTGAAGTCATTGAGGAGGGTGCGGAGCTCGCCGCTGTGGCCGATCCGCAGGCCGGGGAAGAACCGGCAGAGGATCCCGTACAGGTCGGGACCAAAGGAACCGAGGATGGCCTGGGGGAGGGTCCTCACAAAGGTCGCGCCGCTGGCGACCCCCTTGACAGTGAGGCCCTTGAACACAACGCCGATTTTTTTGGCCGAGTCGCCCGTCTCGGTCCGCTTCTCAAGATGGCCCTCCCTCATAAACTGCTCCAGGGGAAAGACATCTTGATCGGTGCTGGCGTCGTCAATATCGGACTTGTCGTCGTCGAATCCGGCCTCGATATCGTCACGGCCTTCGATGGCTGTTGTTGGACCCTTCGACTTGCCGCTCGCACGAGAGGTGATCCGCTGAAACAACCCCCCCCTCTTCTCTGACTTTTGCGATGCTGCCGCGTGGGATC